AGATTCAAATTTTGTTTAAAACTATTTAAAATATATGTTTCAAATAAATTCAGATATGTTTCATTTTGCAAAAGGTTTAACACTTTTAAAAGTAATTGGTCAATATGTATTTTAAACAGCTTTAAACAGGTTTTAAAAATTCAATCCACTATTATCCCATGTATAAATATCAAAACAGCTTGAAAAATATACATATTTTTTATAAAGTTATAGGTTTTATGTAAATTTTTACTGGGATATTACCTATAATGTTTCTCAAAGAAAATGAAAAATTCAGTTTTTTAACTTACAAAATCGATTTTTTCAAAATGGGCTCGATGAAAGAATTTAAATTTTTTTTTTTGCAAAATACTCAGAAAAATGTCCAGATTCAATAATATGAAAGAAATTTTACAGTGAAAGAATTTTTGGGTTAAAGTGTGGTAAGGACCACCGTGAACGACGTTTCGATGACTTGGTTCGCCATCATCTTCAGGTTCCGAACTTTTTTTTGGTCTCTGAATCATAAAATTTATTTTTATATTTTTTTTTCATTTTTAAAATTTCATTATTGAAATTTCGCTAAAAAACGAATAGATTCAATTTTCCAAATCAAAATAACAAAATTTATTTCAAAAAAATCTTGAAAAAATTTGTTTTTTATTTTATTAATGTATTTATATCTTAATTATTAATTATTAATCTTTATATGTAACATTTCTGAAAAACAACGTTTTTAGGGTTTCACGGCTCAGGACCTAAAGCCTTATAGTTTTGCATTGGCGTCCATCCGTCGTAGTCTCGTATAATTGCCATGGTAACAGTTATCATAGCAACCGTTTCCATAACAACCATTACTATGGCAACCGTTACCATGATAGTAAACGTTACCTTAAGGCATGAGCAGAAAAAGAAATGTAACCGTAATCGCAATCGTAAACGGAAGAATGAGTTAGAGAAGGATAGTCATATATTCTTGTTCTTCTCTTACTAATTCCTCTGTTTGCGATTACGATTTCGGTTACGTTTCTATTGTGCTTAAGCCTTTAGCAGGCCACGAAACCCTGCAATGGAGGCGCCATGCCGCTGCTTTTCTCATATTTTTTTTCTGTTATGATTCACGGTCCAATATTACAAAATTATCCCAATCAAACTCAGGATTCAATTCTGATCGATGTAATTCTACTACTGACTGTGCAAATGTTTTATTCTATTATTATTTTTATGCTCGTTTATACGTGTTTTTAATTAACCTTTGAATACTCCAATATAATTCGCAGGACAGTTTTTACAATTGAATTTATACACTATATACTCGTTTCATTACACTTATCTATATTGGATCCTTTTCTAATTTGATAATAGATAATTGAGTAATCGTTATTTTGTAGAATATTTTTAATTTTCGCTAAATTTTCATTGTGAAACGAATGGTGTGACAATAACATGACTCGGTCGATAAGGTTATATATACAATGTTTATTTTTTGCTGCAATTGATTATTCGAAAAGTAATTGATGAGCCTGACAGAAGAAGATGATTTTTGATACACTGTTATATGTAATTTTATTATTATTGATAATTATAGAAATATCTAGATAATTAATTTGATTATTATCTTGTAGTTGATAAATAAATTTTAATTTATGATAAGAATTAAAAAGCTTAATAACAGGGTTAATGTAATTTTTATGTATACGTAAAATAGTGTCATCAACATATCTAAAGTAAAAAATAGATTCACAATTATGTTCAGTTTTTAATTTTTTATGACAATCATTTTCCAAATCATCCATATAATAATGTCAGCAAAAAAACACAGAAATCGGAAAACCCATAGGAGTACCACACAGAAAAAAAGGTGGGTAAAAAGTTGTAAAGATAGAGGATAAAAGTCGTTAGGATACAGGGTAAAGGATAAATTTGTGATGGATAAAAATGTTACTAAAATATTACTAGAAAAATAAATGTCATATTTGAGTAAACTGTCTAATTTTAATAAAAATATTAGTAATTTTACACTTAACTTATTAAATCCACAAATTTTATATAAATAAGTAATTGCATGTGGAAATATTTTGCCTATAATTATTGTCTATTAATAAAGATATCATTGACTAATACAACTGACAGCTGACGACAGTGCGTAAATAATCAGAACTGGGAAATTACAACTCAACGTCTGTATTGTTGCACGAAAGCAGAGTTGGGTAGTAACTGAATTTTTTGTGCTTATTAGGCTGTGTCAGTTGATCGAGATATTTCGAGTTCAAGATATGACGTCAGAGGCCTGGAGGGACAACAAACAGACGACACAATGTTATTCTTATGGGGAAGAAAATTTATTTCCACTTTCATCAATTTTATTCATACTTTAAACATGGAAAACTCTTGTTGACATATAATAAAATTAAAATGTGTGTTGATAATTAATTTTGTTATATATTTGATTCAATTGCATTTTGATAAATTCTCTGAATTCGTGATAAAATATAAATTTTAAGGTTAGGGGTGTTTGTTTACTAATAACATTTTACATTTTAACAACATTATTAAACAATATCCAGTATGCATGTTATTAAAAAGATATAAAATATATATTTTAAGTGGGAATTACCACAGCAGTAAAAGATTTCAAATTAGTAAACAAACACCCCTAATCTCAAAATTTATATTTTATCACGAATTCAGAGAATCTATCAATGCAATTGAATCAAATATATATCAAAATTAATTATCAACACACATTTTAATTTTATTAGATGTCAACAAGCGTTTTCCATGTTTAAAGTATGAATAAAATTGATGAAAGTGGAAACAAATCTTCCCCGTAAGAATAACATTGTGTCGTCTGTTTGTTGTCTCTCCAGGCCTCTGACGTCATATCTTGAACTCGAAATATCTCGATGAACTGACACAGCCTAATATGCACAAAAAATTCAGTTACTACCCAACTCTGCTTTCGTGCAACAATACAGACGTTGAGTTGTAATTTCCCAGTTCTGATTATTTACGCATTGTCGTCAGCTGTCAGTTGTATTAGTCAAAGATATCTTTATTAATAGACAATAATTATAGGCAAAATATTTCCACATGCAATTACTTATTTATAAAAAATTTGTGGATTTAATAAGTTACGTGTAAAATTACTAATATTTTTATTAAAATTAGACAGTTTACTCAAATATGACATCCATTTTTCTAGTAATATTTTAGTAACATTTTTATCCATCACAAATTTATCCTTTACCCTGTATCCTAACGACTTTTATCCTCTATCTTTACAACTTTTTACCCACCTTTTTTTCTGTGGCATCAATCTGTTGATAATATTTTCCATCGAAGACAAAAAAAGTGTTTTTTTTTTATAAAGAAGTGTAAAATATCATTAAAAAGGAGTTTACAATTATTAATATTTGTAATTCTACGTTCAGGACTTTAAGTGACTCAAGTCGAGAGATACTTTGGTAATGTTATGGTTTCTAGTATTTAGATAGCTTCCATACAAGTTGAAATATATTCGAAACCATTACAAACATATTTCAAGCAAAATTAGAAGCGTTTGGATTATTGTTCGAAGTAGTTTAAAAAATGTTTTTAGTAGGTTCCAAAACGCATTTAAACTTTAAATATTTTTCATACAAGTTGAGATATTTTTTTATGAATAGTTTAAAATTTCAGTAATAATTAATTAATAATAATACAAATATTCTCATTAATTTCATCGAATCTGTTCTATTCATTTATATACATTTTAGTTCATTTATAAATTTTAATTAAATTGATGATTTTATAATAGTAGGTACTAAAATAATAATAATATTTGAAGCTAACAATGATTTAATTACTCAAATTATAATTCTATGTTTGTATATTTCTATATATTAACGAATGCCCTCATTTAATTCATGGTTCGAAAAATCTGGTAATTTTCAGAGAGAGAAAGAATGAGGGTGAATGAAAGCTACCCTATTTTTGATTTTAAAAGTCACACAGAGGTGATTAACGAATTTTTGACCGCACAATTACGAGAAGAGTAAAATAATACATGAAGCATGAAGCGTTGCATACAGGTGGGCGTGTATATATAGAAATATATATATATATATATATAATATCGAATTTTACAATCATTGGAGCTTAACTTTTGATGGACGTGTGAATAAAGTGAGGGACTTGTGAGACAGCTGTGATTTTTCACCTGCTCCTTGCAATTGTTTGTCACTCTAATCACTCTTTTATTATTACATACATTCTTTTGTTTAGCGCTTTTTACTATATGTTTCATTATATCCCGATGAAAGATATGATTAAATTCATCAACATAAAATTTTTACCTTTATAAAATATTATTTAATCAGATTTTTCCCACGATATCTATAATTATAGTATCTGGAAAATTATTTTCAATTTATAAATTATATGGAATTTATCGTTATTATCAGAAATATTCCAAATATATTTAGTTATAATTAATGTAGAGTTATTATTTTTGGTTAAACCATATTCGTAAAAAAAAAATTTAGACAAACAATGCAAGCAGTATATAGAAATTGAAATTAACGATAAGGAATTCTTATCTCTTAAGCTTTTTTTGTGTCCAAATTATGATGAATTTTCACTTGTGATTATACAAATGGGAGAACAGTGTGTAAAATGTATTCTGAAAAGAAACATTCTGAAGAAACATCTAAAGAAATAGAATCTCATTTTTTCCAATATATCTGTACTATTTGTGGTAAATTTAAAAAAAAAATATCTTTTAAATTTTAATTCTTCATTAATAATAATTGTTAAAAGTTACCAAAAAATTATTAAAATTTTCAGTTTCATTTTCAATAACTGGAGGTGGAACATTTGTTGTTTGGACCTCGTCAGCATTTATTTATTATGAAAGTCCAGATTCTAATATCAAAGTTACAATGTGGCAAGCATCATGGATATATTCGATATTTTTTCTTGGTGTAATTATTGGTTGTTTAGTGGTGCCATTTATAATTGATTGTTTAGGTCGTAAAAAAATGTATCTACTCTTTAGTTTATTTCAAGTAATTGGATGGATTTTAATTATATTTGCACAAGACTATATTATCATTTGTTTGGGAAGAATATGCCATGGATTTGCTGAAAGTGCACTATTTGACTTTATCTCAGTTTATATAGCTGAAATTGCAGAAAAGAGGATTAGAGGAAAACTTGGAACAATGCTAAAGGTAGCAGCATTTACGGGCATATTTTATGCAGGATGTCTTGGTGCTTTCGTATCCTATCAGACGATGAACCTTATGTGCCTTCTAATGCCACTGATATTCCTATCTACATTTCCTTTTATGCCAGAATCTCCCTACTTTTGTCTAATGAAGGGACAAAATGAAGAAGCCGTGAGAATCTTGATGAAACTAAGAGGAGTTAAGAAACCTGAATCTGTTCAATTTTATGTTGATAGTATGAAATTATCAATAGAGGAGAGTAGAAAATTTAAGAGAAATTCTTTCTTAGATATGTTTAGTACAAAAATAAATTGGAAATGTTTATTCATTTTATTTCTTGCAAAGGGAACAAAAACATTATCGGGTAATTCGGCAATGGGTGGTTATACACAAAATATTATGAAAGCATCTGGTTTTCAATTGGATCCAAAATATTCAACGGTGATAATTTATGGATTATTGTTGATTGCATCGATAATTGCCGTGGGATTTGTTGATAAAGTAAATAGAAGAAAACTATTTTTAATAACTGGAATTATTTGCACTGTGGCATTGGGAATTATTGGTTTCTATTTCTATTTTAAGGATGAAATTAATGTTAATGTTACATCTGTTTCTTGGATACCAATGACTGGTATTGTTTTATATTATTTCTCCTATTGCTCAGGAATTGGTCCCATATCGTATATAATTGCTGGCGAATTATTTCCCATTAATGTTAAGGGAATTGCTGTGAATATTGGAATTATAATGGAGAATTTGTGTGGTTTTATCGTTGGAATTGGATTTAATGCAGTTACTAATTTAGTTGGACATCATGGAACATTTGCGATATTTGCAATTTTTTGTATTATGGGATCGATTAGTATTTTTTATGTTATGCCAGAAACACGTGGTAAATCACTTGAGGAAATACAAATTGAACTTCGACGCAACAAAAAGTAAATTATTATTATTTTTTTTTAGAATCACACATGTGTGATGATAAAAAAAGGGAAAAATTCGACGTTTCCTCCGAGAAAAGGCGCTTTCGTTTTTTATTTATTTTTTTTTTTTTTGAGGGAGAGGAAATAATGTAGAGGTTAAATGTAGCGAGTGGTAGATAATAAACAACAATAATACACGTCCGAAATAAATAACAGCCATATCTCGCGGGGAAATAAAAGTTTTGTCCCCGCGCGATTCCGCGAGTCATTCGTCACTTCTAGTCTCTCATCGTGTGGTCGTTGAAACTTTTTGGTGAAATCAATAGGATCCTCCCCTGTGTATAAAGAAATTCTTTTCATGTCGATTTCAACAGGTTTTCAATATTATTACATATTACAAAGTTATATTAAAAAGAGTCTCATAAAAAAAAAAATTGTAATTTATTTCAAGATATGAAATAAAATAATTTTTAATTTGTCAACAATGCGAGATATTTGAAAATGAAAAAGATAAGAAAAATCGATTTTGTAATTATTTATAAATCACTTATCGATATATCGAGAAAAAAATCAAGAATACCTTTGTGTCTGTTGTAATTAAGATAAGATTTTTTGGATAATTATCCAAAAAATCTTATCTTATAATACATTATAATATGTATCTTTGGGGGGGATTGGGGACACGATGTGCAAAAACAAGTAAATACTTGACCTTTTTCTCTCAAAGAAGATGATGAGAAAATTTATGCTTGATGGTTATGTGTACTCTTAGATTGAGAGAGTTTGTGTAAAACATCATGCGGTCCTTGATCTGTCAACCGAATAAGGATGCTTCAGGTGATGCTGAAGATATACAAATATTCAAGAACTCAAGAGAGAAAGAGAGAGAGAGAGAGAGAGAGAAACGAATAAAAATTAGAAAATCTTTAAGGAGTGCCCGTTATTTCTAATCTAAGAGTTTAGATTTAATTGTAAACAATTATTGTTTAAACAATTGATAAATTATAATTTTTTAAAAATTAATTATCACCTTTTATTATTTTCTCCTTCACCATTTTCTTTTAATACTTCATTTCAAATTTATTTTCTTAATATATTAATTCTTGATTGCAAATGAAAACTAATTCAGTTGAATTAAAATGAATACACCCTGGGCTTCAGTGAATATATCCTGCTTAGCGACAAATTCGAATTGGAACTATGTTGCAATTCTCCTGAATTCGACAAAGCTGTATTCAACTTCCAAACACTCTATTCGTACTAATTCAATGAACAAACGTTTTAGATTTAATTTTTTTTAATTCGTCAGCATAAATTCAATAGACGAGTTGGTCATTTTGTTTTTTATTCTCAACCGATGAAAACTCATTGGTACGAATTGAATTGAATATACAAAGGGCTTCACTGAATCTTGCTTAGATACAAATACAAAGTGGACCTTGCCAAAAAAAGTTAATTCAGTTCAATTCATCTGAATTATTTTTTTTTTTTACTGGGTAATTTTATTTATATGTCACATTAGATTTTATTATAAATTAATATTTCAATCCTTAAATTATTACCGCTGCTATTATTACCAGTTCATTAAGAATTTGTAAAAAAGTTTATATTTATGTTATTTTTTTAGTATTATGTCTCAGCGAAAGAAGCTCAAGTTTAATTCAGATTTGCAAATCAAATACCCGGTATTTAAAAAAAAACAATGATGACAGTTGTATTGTATACGCTGTTTAATATGCAATACTGATATAAATATTGCAAACAAAAGAGCTAGCGATATCGAAGCTCACATTGCCAGAATTAAACATAAAATGAATTTACAAAATCAAAGTAAAGTTGTTCAATTGGCAAATTTCGTTAAAATTGGTATTCCAAAGTGTGAAAAATTTGCCCGAGCAGGAGAAGCAACATTAGCTTTTCATACAGTTCATCATCATAAGTCTTTTAAGTCTATACCGATTGTACAACAAATCTTCACAAATTAATTTACAAGAATTCCGTAATTGCTCAACAAATGTCTAATGCTATAGAACAAAAACACAGGCTATTGTCAATGGAGTTTTAGCACCAGAGTTCATTAGAATGATGAATAAAGATTTAATTGATATTCCTTATGTATAAGGATCGAATTATATGTTGATGTAAATGCAGAATATGCAAAACTGAAAATAATGAGAGTGAAAGAGATAGTGATATATCTCTATCCTTTTCACTCTCATTATTTTCGGTTTTGCATTCTGCATTTACATCAACATCTAAATCCATCCTAAGTGTCTCAACAAATGCAAATAATCATGGTGCAATAAAAATGTTTCTAGTTTGTTTGAATTATTTTGATTATCAAAACGGTTGAATTCAGATTAAAGTGATTAATCTTGAAAGTAAACCTAATGTGACATCTGATACCATTTCTTCAATGTTGTTGGAAGTATTGAAAACATTTGATTTAAAAGAATAATGCATTGCCTTTTCTGGTGACAAAAAAATCATAAGTAATTAATATATACTATATATATATATATAGGTGTAAGACATTTTTTTTCTGTCAGATTAGAAAAAATTAATTATTCCGATTAGTTGGTAATATTATCATTCCCTTGGAATAGGATTAGCCGTTGTCGCAAAAGGTGATGCGTATAAAATTTCACGCTTCCTAATATAAATCTCTTCTAAAACATATATTCTTTGAGTGCGCGGAAATTAATGTAAAGAAGAGGATTCGTTGTATATATATATATATATATAGGTATACTTGAAAAGCGATTCTTCAGTAAGTATATGTAGAAAGTGTGTGTCAGGGTACCAACCAGAATGATTTAGAGAAGAAATTGTAAGCCGAAAGACGTTGAGAGTTCTCCTATGTGTACTTATCTATGTACATGTAAATGGATACGACTGAAGAGTTGTAGAGGATGAAGTGGATGAGGTGAGGTGGGGGGAGGGGGGGGGTTCAATTTGTCGAGGTGTAAGCAAATAACGTTCTCTGCAGAGTTTGTTTGGGTAGAACCAGTGATGCGACGTCCTTTAATTTAAAGTCCTCCTCTCTGATATCAGAGCTGCTGCTGCTGCTACTACCACTACCTATAGCTCATGAAGTCGACAACATTCATCTCCACCTCTTCTCTCCACGCAAATGCTGCTTCGCCTCAGTCTCCAACTTTGTCCGGAGGATCCACCTCGTATGCTTTAGTAAAGCCTGTACAAATAGATGGGGTGCCCTTAAGCAAACAGTTATTGTTTGACACGTTGTGAATACCTTTATACACACATATATTCAGAAGATGTCCTGTGTCCAGATCTCAATTAGAAATTTACTCATTTAACACGCCTATCAATGACATGTATAATAAATTTGAATAATGTCGCATTTAACTCTTGGTTTAGAATTTAAATACGTCTTTTAAGATTTGTTGTAGTTCAATCGAATCAATGAGGTCGTTAATTAGATCTTTTGGAACAATTTTGAGATGATTCAAAGCAGAAGCACAATGTTGCCCTTTGCAGATAGTTACTGCAACTAGTAAGTGATGAATTAAATCATCCAAATATTTATTATAGATTTTAAGAATCATAATCAGATTTAAGATTGGGTTATCAAAATTGTCAATTGCTATTTAGACTATAGTCTTAAATTTAATCAAAAAATATTAATAATGGAAGACCATCGATATTCCAAATTTTGTTTTACGCGTTTGCAAAATGTATTTTACCAGCGAATAATCGAAGTCATAGTGGGATGTATAGAGGACAGACTAAATTGTGTGCTAAAGTAGGAGCACATCGAGTACAAAGGGAGATTTTTAAATGACGGTAAAACTGTGATCTCTCTTTTGTGTTTAAGTGTATGTGCGGTATCTTGGGTTCGAGAATCCAGCCTATAAACAAGAAGGCTTAAGCGTAAAATCCTCAAAATGACCGAAGGGTGTTCCGTAAGAAATCTTACATTCAAAATGCTCCGGATAAGACTATGAGGGTTTTTGAACGGGTGGACGAATATCAGTTGGGAGTTGTAGGTGTATGTATGTATGTATATATATATAAAAGTAAGGGTGGCAGAGTTGTAACATGCAAATTTGAACCTTAAGGGTTTTATGTCAAGCGATATCTTTGAATCATCTTCCCCAAAGCGCGCAAGAGCCACGACACTAGCCCTTAGGGATTCATCGTTGATCTTATCTGGATCAAAAAGTGTCTCCGTTTAAAAAAAAAGGGAAAATTTTTCTCTCTTTATATACATATATTGGCATGCGTAAATGCTCTTGACCCTTTTTAACTTTTTTTTTTTATCAAGGAACTTGACATTCTGTACCATTTTTCAATTTAATCCGCATGTGTGTTCTTATATGGAATTTCTAACATTTCAACTATTTTGATAATTGTAAACAATAATGCAAAATAATTTTATAATACAGATAATAAAAAATAAAATAAAGGAAAGAAATTTAAATTCAAATTTAATAAAAAAAAACCCTTTTGCATTTTTATTTTGTTCGTCATTAGTCTTTCTAAAATGTTTGACATGTACAATTTGGAACTGTTTTTAATTTTCCATTTTAAGTTATTGAATATAAAAAATTGCATAAAAGTTTATTTATTAATGAATAAATTAAATTAAAAAATTTTTAATTTCAAAAAGAAATAATTACTTTTTTACAAAAACAAAATTTGTCATTACACAAAAAGCTTGAAGATCAAAAGTTGTCGATTATATGAGTATTTGCGTAAATTTGACGCGAACTCGAACACTGTGTATAAATAATAGAAATACGACATTAAAATCAGATATAAAATGCGGTACTTTAAATGCACCACGTCATAATTCACGGTCGAGTTGAACACTGCGTGTATTTTTATTGGTTATATGCCGCGTCAATCGAGAGATTGAAATCTAAATTGAATCGTTCCGTGCGTATCGAAGTGTATATACCATTTTGTAAACACACGATTTTTTGTGTGAAATAAACGAAAAATTTTCAAAAAGCTTCTTTCACTGCATATGTTTAAAAATCATTGATATAT